AAAAAAAAAAAAAAAGCAGGAGCCTACTCAGTGTGGAGCATATGAGCAGATATGATTTAACTTTGCTTATAAACTAAGGGAGCCAGGTGTTTCAGAGCAGTTAAATGAGCCCTTCCTTAGGAGCATGTATGTGGCCTACAGGCAGATCTCAGTGGGTAATGACCCCTCATGGGGAATATTTGTAAAGGTAAATTTAATAGTGCGTAAGATTTAGTTTCATTACTATGACTTCCCTAAGAAAAAAAGAGTTGACGTATGTATTTGAAGACTCAAAAGCTCCAAATACATTTATGTTTCATTTTGTATTTTCATATACTTTAAAAATAGAACAGATGTGCTAAAAATATTTATTTCATTTGTTTCTTTAGGTACCACAGTATGAATGAAGTCAGATGGTGTTTTCTCTCTCCACCTGACTTATTTCTCTAAGCATGATAATCTCTAGTTCCGTCCATGCTGTTACAAATGGCACGATTACAGCATTTTTTACAGTCTAGTAATATTCCATTATGTATATACTCCAGCTTCCTGATCCACTCATCTGTTACATTTGTGAGCTGTGACCAGTGATGAGTCATTTTTACATTTGTTCCTGTCTCCTTCCTCTTTGCAGGAGTGGGAGTAGTGGGGCCAGGAACAACTCCTGGGGAACTTGCTGAGATTCCCAGGCCACACGGCTTGGGGGTTGTCTCCCGGCAGGTGTGGGGTGGCCCAGTGTCTAACAACCACTCAGGCTGCCCAAGCTTCCCGCTGGCAACCTGGCCCTAGACCATGGCTCTTTTGGGTTCTAATTTTTGAGATTTACGAGGAACTAAAACATGGGGCAAAATCAGTGGCACTGTAGCCTGCCCAGAACAGTCGGGGGCTGACTGGGAGCGTGGCCGGACTGGAGGCTGTGGCCATTGTGGGCAGCACAGGGGGTCTGACCTGTTTTCCAAGCCCCTGTGAAACTTCACAAAATACACTGTTCTGGGTGCCCCACAACCAATCAGAACCTCGAGGAAGATGACGGCAGGGGTTCGGGGGACACAGCTGGGGACACCCAGTGCCGCCTCAGTAGCACCGGACAGCACATGCAGGGACCTGGGGTCATCAGCAGAGAGCTGGGTGGAGCTCCTGTGGCATCTGCAAGAACGTGGCTGGCAGCTGTGTCCAGGCGCAGGTCCAGAAGATGTGATCCAGAAAGGTCTCGTGCCAGGTGAGTTCTGGCTCAAGCAGAAATATGTGCATTTTAAAACCAAGGAAATGTGCATTTAAAGAGGAACTTCACTGAACACCAGGTGAAGACAGGGGTGCTCTGGTTGGAGTGGGATGAGGGTCCGGACTGTCCAGCTCAGTGCCTCCCCTCTCCCACCCCATTTTCTAACCCTAAGCTTCCTTGAAACACCAAGAAAACCTGCCTGGCTCTTGGGCAAGTCCCAGGAGCCCTGAAGCTCAGTAGGCAAATTGGGCCCTCCTTGTCCCTGCAGGGAGGTGTCCCTGGGGGGGGGGGGGTCAGGCACCCTGGGCGGGAGTTACCCTGCCCAGGTTCTCACATGTGGGCAGTTCCTTTGGAGAAGCCCTGAATTGTGTGTGTCGTGGTGACAGTGGTGTGGAGTCATGTTTACTAACAGCAGTGCTCCGGAAAGAGCCCGACGTCCTTCCAGGAGCCACCTGTGGGGACACAGGCATGCAACTGAAGAGTCAGCCCAACCTCCAGGGACTGTCAGGGAAGTTTTGACAAGTCTGACCTCTACCATGTGACCATCTGCGGAAAGAGAATATTTTTCCCGGAACTGGTTATCCAGTCCACCAGACTGGAGGGGGAGACAGGGCAGGGCTTTAGTTTTGCTTGACATCTTAGCCAGTGCAGATAATACCACCGTAAATGCTGGGGGGCATCTAGTTATGGAGTTCATGTTTTCATGTGCTTCAAATAGATATCCAAACGTGGGATGACTGGATTACGTAAACATTTTTTAATTTTAAAATTTATATTCTAAGAGTTCACTTTGAAAAGCTGTTATAAAGCAAAATAAAATATTGACAGGTTAAAACATCCTACTGGATGGGAAAAGTTATTTACACATCATACAACTGACAAGGCTTAATATCCAAGGTACACAAAGAATTCATCCAACTTTTCAACAACAAAAATACCCAATTAAAAAATGGGCAGAGGATCTGAATGACTGTCTTTCCAAAGAGAATACAAAGATGACCAACAGGATACAAGAAAACAGTCTTCTTCACTTCTCATAAGGGGGATACAAATCAAAACTGCCATGAAATGTCATCTCACACCCAAGAGAATGGATAACATCAAAAAGACCCCCAGCAACAAGTGGAGAAAGGACCCATTGTATTGGTGGGAATGCAAATTGGTGCAGCCATTTTGAAAAGTGTTCTGAGCAGTTCCTAAAAAACTAAAAATAGAAATATTGTACAGCATAGCAACCCCTCATTTGGGTATCTTATCTGAAGAATATGAAACCCCCAAATTATATGCTCCCCCGTGCTTATTGTGGCCTTACTTAACGATAGCTAGATATGAATCAACCTGAGTGCCTGTTAACAGAGGATTAGAAAAGAGTTGTGGGGCCCTCCCTGGTGGTGCAATGGGTAAGGACTCAACACTGCAAGCTGGCCGCAGCTGCTTCAGTGCGAATTTGATCCCTGCCCCGGAGGTGACACACCTGGAGCGGCAGGCCTCTCCTGACCTGCCCGCTGCACCCCTCAGCAGTGTTCTTC